GCCTATACTTTTCTTTTTTAAACTATTTTATTGAAGGGGGCTGGGAGGCTGTGCCACACCTGGCTGTACTTGGGCCTCACTCCCAGTGGCACTCTGGGTGCTGCTGTGGAGTGACAGAGATGAACACAGGCAAAGCATATGGCTCCCACTGTCGATCCCCTGTATTGATTTATTAATTCTATAATGTTTTTTGGTTTTTTTTTTTTTGGTAAATGCTTCCGAATTTTCTGTTTATAATAAACTATTTGCAAAAAAAACCATTTTGCTGATTCTTTTTCAATGTGCATTCCTTTTATTTTTCTTGCCTGATTGCTCTGACTAGGACTTCTAGGAAGCTGTGTTGAAAAGTAATTGGTGTATTCACGTTCTCTATTTTCTCCTGACCCAATATATGGAAGCTGTAGGATTGACTCTAAGAATTTGTCCATTTCTTCTAAGTTTTCAGCTTGGTGGTAAAAAGCTGTTTGTAATGATCCATTATAGTCCTTAATAGAGTTCTGTGATAACTGTTGTAATTTTTCCCTCTTCACTTCTAAACCTCTATAAAGAGTTATATCTGTTGTTTTCTTAATGAGCCTAACAAAGATTTTATCTTTTTTTTTAAATTCTTTTGAAGCATCAACTCTTGATTTGATCCTGTGCTACGGAAAGCTGGAGATACATGTGATTATATACTATGTTATGAGGAGATATGTGCTATGAAGAAAACAGCACACTGAAGGAAGCAGAGCCCTAAGGAAGCAGTGTCAGAGAAGAGGCTTGACAGAGACTTGAAAGGGGAGAGGAGGCGAGTCGGGCAGTTATTTAGAGCACTTGAAGAATAGAGCTGAAGAATAACTTTCTCAACTGGGGACCCCTACTGTATTCTGAAGGCCACAGCACAAGACTAGGTGGGGAAGCAATACACAGGGGGCTGGACGGAGGAAGGGGTCTACAGTTAGAGAAAAAGGTTGAGAATCTATAACTTGCAAGACTGATCTTTCAGGCAGAAAAGAATTTTGAGTGCACAGGTGCTAAGAGGCGCGTGGGCCGAGAAGAAAGAGCCGAAGGGTGGGGAGCAGGGGCAGGTGATAGTTGGTTGGTCAACTTGGCACCCACAGGCAATTTTAAGGATTTGATTTTACTCCGATTGCTACAGGAAGCACAGGGAGTGGCACGCACAGGGAAGAAAGAATGGACAAATCTTCGAAGAAAGTGTTCTGGCTACTGGGCTCACGATGGGAAGATGCAGGGGAAGGCAGAAGCAAGAGCTCTGATATTACTATCAGAACCATAGAGCTACTATACTATAGAACTACTAGTAGTTCTTCTGCCAGAACCTGCCAGAAACAATGAAGGTCATGTAGGGGACAAGGAGTGGCTGGGGTATAACTGCGCATATTCTGAAGACCTAGTAAGATTTCTCGGACAAAGTGAAGCGTGAGAAGTCAAGAATGTCAGCAGAGTTCCTGAAGGAAAGAAAGGAGTACAGAGTTGGAATTAACTGATTCGAGTGGGATCCATACTTTTGGGGAGAAATTAGAAGCTCAGTTTTTGACATACATGACATGTCTACTGGACACTGAAACAGTGCCTTTGCATTGGTATCTGAAGCTTCAAGTTCAAAAAAGCTCCAGGCTGAAGTTTCCATCATTTGCTCTTATCTGGCTATTGCAGGTTTGCAGAAATACCTGCAGGTTCTTCTGGATGTTCCCCCAGTCTCTGTACCTGCATCTCTCTGCAGTGTTCTCACTCTCCCCACCCCCACTCCATCTCCCACCCCGCTTTTCTTCTTCAGTTTTTGGGCCACTCCTGGCCTTGCTCAGAGCTTACTCCTAGCACTGCACTCAGGGATCACTTTCGAGAGGGCTTAGGAGACCTTATATGACGGTGGGAATTGAACCTGGGTCAGCTGAGGGCAAGGCAAGCACTTTTTTTTTTCTTTTTGGGTCACACCCGGCGATGCTCAGGGGTTACTCCTGGCTTTGTACTCAGGAATTACTCCTGGCAGTGGTCAGGGGACCACACGGGATACTGGGACTCGAACCCAGGTCGGTCGCATGCAAGGCAAACGCCCTACCCGCTGTGCTATTGCTCCAGCCCCCAAGGCAAGCACTTTAAACCCTGTACTATCTCTTTGGCCCAAGTGTTTTCACGCTTCTTTCTGCTTGGTCAAAATAATTCTATTCTTCAAGAATAGTCATCTCTGATCTTTTTATAAAACATGGTAACATCTCTTGAACCATCCTGGTCCCTTAAATCATTAAAATAAATGAAATACAAAATGGCTGGTCATTTAGCATACTCAAAATGTTAAGTAATTTCTTCTTGCTTTTTTTTTTCTGGTAGGGAAAAGTAGCCATTTCATAAACACAGCAGGAAATTTGCTTGATCTCATCAAAAGAAACCATTAGAATTCTTTAGAGAAATCAAGACCACAGAAAAAGGCCAAGGCACAGTAGCCAGATTTTGCATTTTCCAATTCCAGTAGTTATTTGAAAGCAAATCTTTAAAAATGATTTGTACTATATAATAAACTCTATAGGCTACAAAGGCACATAGGGCAATCTTTTGCCAGTGTTCCAAAGCTATTTTCTGTTATAAAAAATTTTCATTTTGATTGTCATCATTTTACTTGCCCTAGGGAGGCATTAAAATGAGAGAAGTTATTGAACAAGAAAACGTGTCTGTGTCATTCCCAAGAGAAAGACTTGAATCAAATTGAGGAAAGGGGAAAAATTTTTAAATGATGTGAAATTTAGAAATAATCTAGATAAACAAAAATCTGCCTTTTCCAGACGAGAACACAGTCAGTCAGAGCTGATACTATCACTTGAACAGCATGTTCTCAACTATCGGTTCTGTTAGCTACAATTTGTGAAATTATAAACTCCATGAGGGCAGAGATTTCTGTCTGTTTTGTTAAGTATTGTTTCTATTTCACATACAAAGTGAACAGACTTATAATCCTAAATTGCATGGGACTGAAATACATTCAGGATGAACTATAAACAGATATCGAACATTTCTCCAGGGTTTGAAAAACTGCTTGCTCTTAGATCTGTGCTACCACGGAATCTGCAATCACGGTCTTAAAAATTTGATCACAGAAGGACAGTCACACAAAAGCAGGAGAAAGGGGAAATCTAAAGCAAAATCTCTAAATGCTTCAGATTACAAAAGCTGTCTGTGGGCAGGAGAGAATGCCTGGCACACAGAGACCTTGAGTTCCGAGCCCAACACCACCTCACTGTGAGCAGCCATGTGCCCCTGACAACCTCTGTCCCCCAGAAAACTTCTCTGTGGGTCGAGACAAAAGGATGCTATCCCACTGAAGACAAGGTCAGCAAAACCCTCCACGATATTGAGGCTAATGGTATCTTCAAAGACGACACTCCACTGACCAACCAAGTGGAAACAGGTAAACAAATGGGACTATCTTAAATTAAGAAGCTTCTGCACCTCAAAAGCTACAATGACCAGAATACAAAGACAATCTACAGAATGGGAAAGGATATTTACCCAATACCCATCTGATAAAGGGTTGATATCAAGGATATACAAAGCACTGGTTGAACTCTGCAAGAAGAAAACATCTAACCCCATCAAAAAATGGGGTGATAAAATGAACAGAAACTTTTCCAAAGAAGAAATCTGAATGGCTAAAAGGCACACGAGAAAATGCTCTACATCACTAACCATCAGGGAGATGCAGATGAAAACAATAATGAGATATCATCTCACACCACAGATACTGGCTCACATCCAAAAGAACAAAAGCAACCGGTGTTGGTGTGGATGTGGCGAGAAAGGGACTCTCCTTCACTGCTGGTGGGAATGCTGACTGGTTCAGCCCTTTTGGAAAACAGTACAGACGATTCTCAAAAAATTAGAAATTGAGCTCCCATTTGACCCAGCAATACTACTCCTGGTACTATATCCCGGAGAGGCAAAAAAGCACAGTCGAAATGACATCTGCACTTCTATGTTCATTGCTGCACTATTCACAATAGCCAGAATCTGGAAAAACCCCGAGTGCCTGAGAACAGATGACTGGTTAAAGAAACTTTGTACATTTACACCATGGAGTACTATGCAGCTGTTAAAAAGATGAAACCATGAAATTTACATACAAGTGGTACTACATGGAAAGTATCATGTTAAGTGAAATGAGTCAGAAAGAGAGGGACAGACAGAGAAAGACTGCATTCATCTGGGGAGTATAAAGTAACAAAACGGGAGACTAACAACCAAGAATAGCCGAGATAAGTACCAGGAGGTTCACTCCATGGCGTGGAGGCCAGCCACACGTGCTGGGGGAGAAGGCAGTTCAGATAGAGAGAGGAGCACCAAGTAAAGGGTGCTGGTAGGATCCTCCCAGGATGAAAGATGCATGCTGAATGTAGACTATAGACTGAACATGATTGCCACTCAATGCCTCTTTTGCAAACCACAGCACCCAAAATGAGACAGAGAACAAAAGGGAATGTCCAGCCACAGGGGTGGGGTGGGATGGGAAGGTTGGGGAGGTGGGAGGGATGGGTACTCAATCATTGTATAACTGAAACTCAAGCACCAAAATTTGTAAGTCTACAACTGTACCTCATGTTGTTTCACTAATAAAAACAAAAAAAAAGTGTTAGATTTACATAGCTATCGTGTTTTTTGGATACATATTCATTATGGGCATTAATAAGTCTTAGAAAGTAAAACAGTGTAAGGATATTGTAAAAGACTAAGATTTATCAGGAAAACTGGTGGTAGTGGGAGACAGAGTTAAAAAAAACTTTGATTTCAGATTATGTAATGCTTCAAATATCCAATTAAATGGCCCAGGTTCTATAAGTTCCTTTGTCAAAAAAACCCTTACATAGTTTTTAAAACCAAACAGCCTCTAAAGCAAACACTTCCAGCAAATACCAAAATTTCCATGCAGTCAACAGGCAATCTAATATATGCATTTCAATCCCCCAGAGGAAATATCATTTTTAACTGCATTTCAAAGTTAAAAAAATACCCACCTCTTTAATCTCATGTAGCTTTCACTGGCGGCAGGCCGGCATTCAGCTCTCTGGACCACTATTCCTTCCAACGACAGCTTATCTTGAAAGGAAGAAATAACAAAAGAATTCAGAAATACGTTATCATTTTCAAGATTGCATTTCAGCACACAGTAATGAGTTATGATCAAATGCAATAATAAAAATCAAGGAAAACAAAAGTACTAGGTTAAGGTTTACAGTCCTGCCTAGACAAGTGAGAGGCCTTCCTGGCGAGTGGCGAGCAGGGCTCCCGTCAGGAATGCTTATTGGGCTGCTACAGCCCCATGCCAATAACAGCTTACCTATACTTAGCCCTTCTTAAAGAGCTTGAAAGGCCATACAGTCAAATTTTAAAAATGTGAAAAACAGAGGCTTCATCATCTGTGGCAGAGAAGTAAATTCTGAAAACACAGCTAGTCTAAACTAGTAAATCCAGGAGAGAAGTATAGTGCTGTGTCTGTGTGTGTAAGCATCCCCACCTCCATGCAAACAAGATTCTAGAACAACCCATGATGAGAACTCAGCCTGGAAAATATTGCGAAATTGGGCAAATTATATTGTCTAGAAGTGTACTGTGTAGCTGCAGTTCTACCCACCAGCTGCTCCGACTTCTATTTTTCCAGCAAAATTATAAATGTGGGTATGTCCAGGTCAGAACTTTAACCGCTATGAATACCACCCAAATAAAAGGGCAACCTTCCCAACCACTACCTGAAATTCTTAAAATGACTAAGACAGAAAACGCAAGAGAGGGCTGGAGAGATAGTTCAAGCAATCAGAGTGCCTGGCTGATAGGGCAATGCCCGAGTTTGAACTCTTGAGCACTACCAGGCATGGGCCTGGTGTCCCCTGAGCACCACCCTCTATGGCCCCTAGAAAAGTTAAAAAAAAGTTATTTTAAAAGTCTTTCGACCTCAATGAAAGCACTGAAAATTATCAGCATCTTCTTCACGCATTCACCTTAAAAAAAAAAAATAGAATCCAAGACAAACAAAAAAGGTGGAGTAAAAGGGCCTTCCACATGCTTATCGATCATCAATCACTGTGGTGGTCTCTTAACAGATCTTACCCCCCTTCACATGACACAAATGAGTGTCCTACAGAGGCACCAGCCTGACTATGAAATGTCTGGAAATGTACAGCTCTGTCTACTAGTTTATTGCAGTGTTGAGGGCCTCACACATGCGTGGCAGGTGCTCCACTGTTGAGCCACATCCCTGCCTATCCCTACAAGAAGGAAATGCTATGTCAGTCATATTTCTGTGAGAATTCACTGAGATTTTTGAAAGGAGACAGGAAATCTCTTGGCTCCTCAGCACTGCACTTATGATTCATCTCTTCGGGCAAAGTGACCTCATTCATTCCATGAACATTAACTAAATGCCTACTGTGTGAGGGATACTATCCAGGCACTGAGGCATCAGTGCTGACTAAGATACAGGACTATCTTTAAGCACACGATGCCTGGGGAGACAGACGCAGAGGACACCACAAACACGGACACTACCTATTCCAGAGAAATCTTTTTATAATTCCTTTCTTAGAAATCATTCTTGACTTTTGTCTCCCAGATGGAGCAACTCCTTATGGCAGTGCCCAGGAACTAATTACGAATACACCATGTATATTATTAACAAGTCCTAGGGTCCTTCAATATAACATATGCAAAAATCCCATCTATAAACATTCAGATAGTTAGGAAGCAATGAGAAGCATTGCTTATACCAAAACATGCCAGGAAAAAAATGAGAAGACCATGATTATTTTTATTATATTTGAGATTTTGTTTTTTCAAGTAAAAAACAAATCTTACATTTAAACTTGCCTCCACTGAATCGTCTATCTAAAATATTCTTCAGCTGTCATAATAATAGCATGATTTAGAAAAGTTTTATGTATAAAATGCCTTAAATGCGTGAGAAGAGTTCACCACTGAAATAAAAAAAAGTTAATTAAAAACATTGTTGAGGGCTAGAGAAACAGCACTGGGCTAAGACACTTCTCTTGTGTGTGGCTGCCCCCACTTCACATTCCTGGCAGCACACAGGGTCCCGAGCCCCTCCAGGAAATAATCCCTGAGACCAACGGATGTGGCCCAACTCTCCTCCTGCCATCCACCCCCTGAAGGTCGCTCTCTGTATTCAGCATTGATAATCACTTGGCTATAATACTAAAAAAATTTCAGGGACAGTATCAAGAACGTCTACTCATTTATTTTTTGGTTTCTGGAACCTATCCAGGGGTGTTCCAGGCTTACTCTTGGCTCTAGGCTCAAGTATATTCCTGGCAGTGCTTGGGAGACCATATGCAGCATTAGGGATCAAACAGGGGCCAGCCAGGTACAAAGCGAGAGCCTTAACCACCCTGTACTCACTCTTTGGCCTGAAAGAGCGACCTTGTTTGGAGATGGAGCAGGAGGTGCAGGGCACAGCCTTCGGTGCGCAGGGGCTGTTATTGGCTTTGTGCTCAGGAGTGACTCCTGGCAGTGCTCGGGGGACCATATGCGGTGCCGGGAATTGGAACTCGAGTATTGCAGCTGCCACAGCCACATGCATGGCGAGTGCCGCAACCTCCTGTATCATCCCTCTGGCTCCAAGTCCGCTACCCTTTAATACCACCTACGAAAACGCCCCACTTCTATTCAGCAGCTTCCACTCCAGGTGGGTGAGTCTGCACATGAATTTCAGTTAAAGGTCTCTACTGCCAACATGTTCTTCGTGTAGCACCTGCAAGGGGGAGGAGAAACCCCAGTACTGGCCCCTCACAGCACGCCCATCACTGTTCCTCAGTCAAGGTCACTCACACGGAGCAACAAAATCCACTTCCCCAAAACATGATTTTCTGCCCATCACGTCTTCTTTTCAAACCTAAAATAGCCCTCAATTGCTTCCCAAGTGAAAGGAAAAGTCTCAATCATCAGCGATGACTTTCCCCACCAATTAGCTGCTCTTAAATAACCCCTCACTCATCGCTGTCTGCTTGTTCCTCCTAAATGAACTCTAAAAAGCCAATTTACTTATGTTACGGCTCTCAGCAAGATTTAAAACCTTCACACACATTTTAAGACAACACAGGAACACACTTTCTATCCTTCCACTAAATCATCTTGCTTCTTCAAAACATTCAGGAGAAAGGTATGAAATATTACATTTAATTTGCAAAGCATTTGGAAGCACACACTTGCACAGCACTGCTATTAATTATAGATCATATTCATTAATATGGAACCCTTATTTAAAATCACTTTATTGGCCTAGCTTGAATGATTCTAAATACTTAAAAATAACCCATATTATTTTTTGTTGACACTTCTATCAAGTATTTATGGGGGGGAGGGTTTAAGTAAAGGATAATATAAGGAACACAAAAGAAGTAACAAAGATAAATGGAAATGAATAAATGAACAGCTTCTACCTTCAAGAAGTGAGTGAGAGGCTGGAGTGTTTGCCCTGCACGTAGCGGATGGGGGAGTTAATCCTCAGTATCCCATATGGTCCCCTGAGCACCATTAGGGGTGAGCATTACCAGGTGTGGTCCAGAAAAACAAAAACAAGCAAACAAAAGAAGCAGGGAGTGAGCGTAGCCGTTCACAGTCTTTACAGGTACTGAGGACGCTCTTCCCCAAAGCTTTTGAGTCTATAGGTTCTAGCTGTAGACATTATCTATCACACTGGAAAGGGAAACTGAGAAATCATCACAAAATCCGTGAGGAAAGGCAATAAAGCCGTCATGTTGCTTCTGCATATTCTTGACAGGGTCTCTGGGATGCTTGTATCCAGTGGTTTCCAGATTCCATTTTGGGAACTGCTGCTTCAGTCGAATGACAGGCATATGAATCATTTTTAATATGCTAGATGCACTTGCAATTGACCACCACTTAACCCACTTCCAAGTCACCAGGGCTCTCAGTTACCCTCTCTGCAATACGGTGGCAGATGCCCGCTGCTCACTAGATACCAGTGGGCAGCAGGTGACTCTCTAGGACTCCCACACGCTTCTGCTCAAACTGGGATAGGACTTGTTTATGCCACTTTTACTGCTAGTAATTATACAATCTGATTATGCATTACATAATAATACTAAGTATTAGAATGGGGGAGGGATTTGTTTCTATGAACTAGATTTAATGATTTAGTTAAACTTGGTGTAAAGGTACTTTGCTAAAAACCAACACCAAACAAATAAAAAACTTCCACCAAATTATCAGAGAAAACCTGAGACTAGACAAGAAATGTGAAAATCTATTTTAGGGATAGGGGTGGGGCACAGCTGCCAGAGCTCAGGAATTATTCCTAGTTCTGCTCTCATGAGCTCAGGAGTTAGTCCTGGTGGCACTTGGGGGACCATATGGGATGCTGGGGATTGAATCCAAATCAGTCGCATGCAAGGCAAACATCCTACTCACTATACTACCTTTCTGGCCCTGAAACATAAAGAAAACACGGGTTTAGTTGTCATGCATTAAACAGAATGGAGGGGCTGAACCTTGAAAATTGGGTACTGATTTTATTTTATTTTTTAATTTTTTTTGCTTTTTGGGTCACACCCGGTGATGCACAGGGGTTACTCCTGGCTCTGCACTCAGGAGTCACTCCTGACAGTGCTCAGGGGAGCATATGGGATGCTGGGAATCGACCCCGGGTTGGCCGCGTGCAAGGCAAATGCCCTACCTGCTGTGCTATCGCTCCAGCCCCAAAAATTGGGCATGATTTTAGATGGAAGGTGAGCCATGGAATAAAAGTTGGTGGCAAGAATATGATCACGACATTTATGTCCTCTGCCTTGCCTCTGTAATTTTTAAAAGTGGGACTCAGACTAGAAATCACTGTCACTGTCCTCCCCTTGTTCATTGATTTGCTCGAGTGGGCCCAGTAATGTCTCCATTGTGACACTTGTTACTGCGTTTGGCATATTGAATACATCACGGGAAGCTTGCCACGCTTTGCCGTGCAGGCAAGATACTCTCGATAGCTTGCTGGGCTCTCCGAGAGGTATGGAGGAATCGAACCTGGGTCGCCCGGGTTGGCCGCGTGCAAGGCAAACGCCTACCCACTATGCTAT